ACTGTGAGCGGGCGCACGTGGCGGCGGCGGGGTGGGGGGGGCTGTGACAGCGGAGGGGGGCGTCTGGGCCCGCCGTGGGAGCGCGCGTGTGCGGGGTGGTGGATCTGCAGGTGTCTCGCCTGGGTGTGTGCGTGTGTCTGCCTCCGAGTTTGTGCTGGGGACTGCAGGGAGAGGTGGTGCCAGTCCAGGGGAATGTTGGGGCTGTGGCCCGTCGGGGTGTGTTCGTGAGTCCCCCCTTGTTATGTGTGGGGCTCCGGTTGGGGGTGCCGTGCCTGAGGGGTGGGTGCTCTGTTTATGTGTGGTGTACCTGTGTGTGTATGTAGTTGTTGGTGTGCGCACGCGCATGTTCTCTGTGAGAGTTGTCGGTGTGTGCTTTTCGGGGTGGGGGGGTGGCGGTGGTCTGTGTTGCCATTGGGTCTGTGTCGCGTGTGGAAGGAGAGTGTGGTTGTAGTGGGCTTGTGTGTTGCTTGAGCGTGCTGTGTTGGTGTGTTTATGTGTGTGTTGCCCGATGTGCTGTTTGAGTGTAATCCGTGTGTGTTGCCAGTGTAGACTGGCTGCGACTGTCTGTTTATCTCCAGGCATGTGTCTCAGTCAGCGTTTGTGTTGGTGTGCCTGCTTGGATGCCCGGATCTGTTTTCTGTCCAGGTGTCTGTGTGAGTTCAGCATGGGTGTGTGTGTGTGTGTGGTGTGTGTGTGTGGTGAGGGGCTGGCTCAGTCTGTGTTTGGCTTGTGTGTCTGGCTTCACTGTCTGGGAATGGAGGACTGGGCTCCACGGGGTCTGTGCAGTGCAGTCGGTGGGTGTTGCTGGCAGCCTTTTGCATGCGGCTGTGTCTGAGCCTGTGTGTGTGTGTGTGTGTGTGTGTGTGTGTTAAGTCTGAGGGGCTCGTCTCTGTCATCGGCTGGCTTGTATGTGTCATGTGGGCTGCTTGTGTGTAGTGTTTATGTCAGTCACGTGAGACCAATGTTTTCTGTGGGTGCTTTGGGTGTGCGTGCTGCCGGGGCTGTGTGGGGTTAGAGTTAGCGTGCAGGGTGTGCGTGTGCTGGGACAGGCAGTTGGTGATGGTGTTTCGGGGTGGGGGAGCTTGGGTGCTATCTGCTGTTGTGGCTGTGTCACTGCTGCCATGAGTGCTGATGCATCTGGCCTGGTGACCTGGGTCCCTCTGGGCCTGATTTCCATGTCCTGGGTCTGAGAGTTGGTGACAAGTGGGTGTGTTCCAGTTGCATGGGTCTGTGGATGTCCATAGATGCTGGATTTGTGTTGGAAAGTGTGTGGGTCCAGAGGCGCGTGGAGCTCATCTCGTGGGTGTATGTGTGGGGGAGCGGTATGTGTGTTTGAGAAGTGTGGCAGTGCCCATTTTGTGTGTTTATGCTTGTAATGGCTGGGCTATGCTGTGTGTGTGGTGGGGGGCGTATCGTTTGTGGTCAGGGTGTGAGATTCTGACACGACACGGTGTGCATGTGAGGGGTGGAGGGGGTAGGTCGCCAGCCAGTATTCATTGTGCTGAGCTCCTCTGATGGGCTGTGTGTATGTGTGTGTCCGTGTGTTGGTCAGAGTGTGTGTGTGTGTGTGTCCTGTGTAGAGTAGCAGTGTCCCAAGACTGGGCCCAGCTCAGCGTTCATGTGCAGATGAGTGATGGGACCGCCAGTCCTGTACAAGCCCCTTATGAGTGTGTGTTGTGTTCCCTTCACACCCTCTCTCTGATTTGTCTGTTGGGTGCTGTGAGCTGTGTGTGGTGGTCAGTGTGCCTGGCTGCGTCTATCACTGTTTTGAAGTTGGCCCCACCAGCCCCTGCCCTGTGAGAGTCCATTGAGACCCTGGTTTGTTATGGGAGGCTGTTGTACCCACACAGCAGGCACACCCCTCCTGGGTCCCAGGAGCCCCTGTCCCTACTGTGAGAACTCTGGTGGCTCTCCCTGTCCCTGATCCCTGTGCCGACCACCATGTTGAGGGGAAGCTGACTCAAGGGCCAGCGCTGGCTCTGGGCTAGCCCCCTAATTGGGTGCTGTCTTATGGGGCCATCTGGGTATAGTGTGGGTACCATCCAGGGCTCCCTCCTCCAACCCCCATGTGCGCTCATGGCTGGGTGCTGGCATGGGGCCCTGGGAAGCGTTGTATATTGAGGTATTTGGCTGACTGCAGCCCTCTCCACTGTCTTGCAGGCCCCAGGGAGCACCATGGCCCGAGCACGCCAGGAGGGCAGCTCCCCGGAGCCCGTAGAGGGCTTGGCCCGTGACGGTCCACGACCCTTCCCCCTCAGCCGCCTGGTGCCCTCAGCCGTGTCCTGTGGCCTCTGTGAGCCTGGCCTCCCGGCAGCCCCTGCTGCCCCTGCCCTACTGCCAGCTGCCTACCTCTGTGCCCCCACCGCTCCACCCACCGTCACTGCCACCCTGGGGGGCCCCCGCTGGCCTGGGGGTCCCCGCAGCCGACCCCGAGGCCCACGCCCCAACGGTGAGTGCCTGTCTCACACCAGGGATCATGGATGCTCAGACCTGGAGGAGCAGAAGTGGGAGCTAGGGAGCTAGCCAGTGTGTGTGTGTGTGTGGAGGGGGGAATGGCTGGCCAGTGGGGCCACTAGGAGGGTGTGGCTAGTGTGGTCTTTGTGTTGCAAGAGGCAGGAAGACTGAGTGGGAGGCTGGGGGTGGGGGGGAGACCGAGTGGGAAGTCCCTCCTGGAATCTGACTGCAGTCCCCAGCTGCAACCCGCCATCTTTTCCGGGCCTGGGGCAACAGCTGTTTTCCCAGACAAGCCCCCCCCCAACATACCCAGTCTGGGTCCCTTGGAGCTCCCAGAAGATTGTATTCAGAGAGGGAGTGGGCAGAGAAGGACTGCCACCTAGGGATTTTGGGGAGATACGGGGTGGCCTTTTGCCTTTATCTGCATCTTTTAGGTCTGGGCAGCCTACTTTGCAGTTCTAGGAGGAGAAAGGAGAGGGGGAGGGGCCTTTGTAGTGGGAAAGTGAGGGGGGTGAGTCTTGGGGAGGAAAGGGTTAAAGGTCCCCTGCCTGATGGACTGTTAACCCTGTGGTGGCTGGCTAGCCCCTTAGGAGGGGAAAGATAGTTCTGGCTTCCCTCTCCACCCCGCCCCCACCCTGTCCCTGCAGCCCAGGAGGTGGGGAGAGAGAAAACTTCCCTGGCTCAGTTTCCTGGCAGCCTGGGAAGAGGGCACCCCCATCTCAAGGCCAGAGTCACAGGTGTGGAAACTGAGGCCCTGATTGTAGACCTTAGGGCACCATCCTGCCAGACCTGGTCTGATGGGAGGGCTACAGGTCTGCAGGAGGCAGTGGGCATCTCTGGCATCCCAGTCCCAGCCCGGCCCCCCGCCCCCCTCCAGGCTTGGGCTCAGAGGCAGCCAGTCTGGCCTTCTCGGTCTCCAGGCCCCTGCCACATCCGGAGGTGTGGCTTCACTGTGGTTGGACATGAGAGGGCAGGAGACCTGAGGCTTGTGACTCTCGAGTACTCAGAGTACTCAGTGCAGTATCCCTATGTGACCTTGGACTGTTTCTTAGCATGGGCCTCAGTATCCCCATCTGTCAAATGGAGCAGGCAAATTTTAGCCCGGTTTTGGCTTAGAGGGACTCAGGTCAGATAAGAGCAAAGACTTCTCCACTAAGTGGGGAGTGAGGAGCTCTATAGATAGAGGAGCCCGGGGAGGCTCCCCAGGACCACCTTTCACTTCCTAGCGACCGGGCAGCAGCAGCTGAAAAATCTGGCTCTAAGGGGAAAACAGAATCCATGGAAGTGAGGGGAGGGGCGGAGAAGAGAAATCAGGCGGCTGGAAAGGGGAGGAGCAGGCCTAGGCTAGTGGTTCCTCGGGGACACCTCTGGGTCTGGAGGGCAGGGGTGCTGACCACGCCCCTGGCTTTTCTCAGGTCCTCAGCCCTCACTGTCGCTCGCCGAGCAGCACCTGGAGTCGCCGGTGCCCAGCGCCCCAGGGGCCCTGGCGGGCGGCCCGACCCAAGCCGCCCCGGGAGTCCGGGGGGAGGAGGAGCAGTGGGCCCGAGAGATCGGGGCCCAGCTGCGGCGGATGGCGGACGACCTCAACGCGCTGTACGAGCGGCGGGTGAGTGTTGGGGGAGTAGACGGCAGGTGGGACTTCCCGCCCGGAGGGGGCTGCGGGCGGCCCCGCCAGATGTGCGGCAGCTGCTGTCCTGCGCGGCGGGGTCGCGCTGGGGACAGGCAGGTGGGGGACGGCG